TTTTTTCGTTTTGCATGAGTTTTGGCATGGATTTCTGATTTTTGATTTTCACGCTTGCCTCCTTTTTTTTTTTTGCTTGAGAGGGCAACCCGCCCGGGTTCACATTTCACGGGCCTGCAGGGTGCCAGGGTTTCACATTTTTTGAGCGGATCGGGATTTCATATTTCGCGGGTCTCTGAACGGGACCGGGATTGCAGATTTCACGGGCCTGCGGGGCGCCAGAGTTTCACATGTGACAGGTCTTTGAGCGGACGAGGATTTCACACGAGATTTTACATGATTTCTCTTGCAGAGTCTGCTGTCATTGAGTTTGCCGACTGCATTTTTCAAGCTTCCAGCACAGATAGTTGTGGATTCCGAACTGGGTGTCTCGTCTTCTGCAGGAGACTCAAGAGGCGGACAGAGATGAGCGGCAGATTGCAAGGCTTCATGCTGAGGCTAGCCTGCAACGTGCCAAAAACAAAGGCAGCATATTGAATGCCTGGCTGAAGGTCCACTCCCGAGTGGGGTCCAGGTAGTAGGTCACGTCGGACAGCTCCAGGATGATTTCGTTGTTGGCCGGATTCCCCAACTGCGCGCACCGCAGCCTTACGTTCCGGGAGAGAGCCCGTCGCTCTGGCGGGAGAGGCTGGCATTCAGGGTGGTCACCGGCAGGTACTTGACGCGGAACGTGAAGACCTGAAATCGAGCGTTTTTCTCGAGACCTACCCCGGAGGCACCTACACCGGAGGCCCGCGGAAATGTGAAATCGAGCGTTTTTCTCGAGACCTACCCCGGAGGCCCGCGAAAATGTGAAATCGAGCGTTTTTCTCGAGACCTACACCGGAGGCCTGCGGAGATGTGAAATCGAGCGGTTTTCTCGAGACCGTGGCGTTGAGTTGGCATGGAGTTTTTTTGTTTTGCACGATTTGAGGCATGTTTTTGCTTGATGTCGAATTGGCCGACAATGCAGAGACATAGAAGAATGTTGTTCAAGAGGGAATCACGTCGTGAGCGTGAAAAGGATATTGATCTGGATGATGATCAGTCTTTGTCTAGTGTGTTGAAGAGGTTTCTGAGTGTGCATGCTTTGACAAAATCGCAGCGACTCATGTTTCTGCATTCAGGAAAGCAGCTGCTGAGTACTGTGGTATCAAGGATGTGCGCGACGTTGGTCCATTGTTGACTACTCTCGGTATCAAATCAGAGGCACGAGGAACAGCAGCAGGAGGCAGGATATTGACACGGTCCACGATTGACTCGAGAAAAGCTGGCAATTGCTTCAGTTTGTTGCCAAAGTCGTGAACTCCAAGGGGGCAGCGTCGGAGTTTCGAAGAAAAGGATCCCCTTCGTTCGCATGTGCATGCTTGTGCACCCTGTTTTGTGTAGGATTTACAGGTTCGGCTCAATTGCTTATTTAAACTCCCTAAACCCTAAAGCAACAACCCCAAACCCCAAACACTTGCTTTTTCGTTTTGCACGAGTTTTGTATTTTTTACGAGTTTGTAGGAATGGTGTATGAATGTTTTGCTGTGCTTTCGGCGTGGTTACGCCCTTCTTTACCGCTTTCGAGAGAGGTCATGGCCTTCTTGCTTGGGCGGCATGATGATCAAGGTTTCTTTTGGTCTTGACGCCATGCAGCCGCGAGAAGCTGGCAATCGGAACATGTCAGAGCATACGCCGCCGCGACAAGCTGTCAGTCCGAACATGTCGGAACATACGCCGGCAGGACAAGCTGGCACTTCGAGCATGCCTGGGCTTGCCAGCATCATATCACCTCTTCGACGGCTGGCCAGGGTCGCAGAAGCACAAGCACAAGCAGATCTACAGGAAGCGCAACTGGCATCACTACGTTTAGAGGGACGCGCTCGTACAGCAAACCTGGCTACATCCTGCATATGTATTTTGAATACATGCCAGAGCATGTCTACACCTGACAGAGTGGACAAGGTGGACGAGATGGCCGTGGAAACGGACATGACCGACGAATTTTCGTGGCTATATTTGCTTCTGATGGTAGTCTGCAAGCGTGGATTGCAGCGAAAGACTGATCTGTTCGAGGTTGAGGAGACATACGCAGGGGCGCAAGCAGGATGTGCCGAGCATGATGGAATTCTTGTGGACTACTTGAAATCTATCTGGCCTGAGCAACCTGATGTCTGGCCGGTTTCATCAACGAAAGAAGCAATGAAGTGCGTAGCTTGACGTGTTGGTTGGTAGGTTTGCTGTATTTTTAAGCTTGTAAAGGCTGCCTTGAAAGAGTCTGTCGCGCAGCACCTCAAGCAAGACATTTCTGCAATTGGTATTGCGCACAGTATCTTTGTTCGCAGGCCTACTGGAGAAGACATTGTGAAAGTCGGAAATGCGTACGTTGGAGAGGTACAAGAACAAGCCTAGATGCATGCAGATGATTTGAAGCAACATGGCAAGGACTTCATATTCTTGACTTGTTCATCTGGTCGTGAACAGGACATGGAAGGACATCTTCATCCTCCACGTGCTTGTCCCTGAAGGTACACGATCACTATTGTGGCTGAGCCTGTCCGGCCAAAGTCTTCCATCTTCCACGATGGAGGCGAGCAGTGATTCCTGATGCCTATTATGTGTTTCGGCCTGTCTGCAAAATCAGCCCTGCCTTGCATTTCTCTCTGTCCAGCCTCCTTGCTATGAGATCTTGTGCTGACATGCTGCTGTTCATACACTGCTGTACTCAGGTTCGGTGTGGCGCTCCGGCCCTTTCCGTCTATCGCTGTATGGAGCTCGGCTCGCGGAGTGCCACCGCACCTTCAACTGCCCAACGAAGCTCCATCCACTGTGCCTGGTTTCCAGCTCCTGGTTCGTGCAAGATAGCTGCTCAAGCTTATCAGGTGGAGGCTGTTGACACTGTGTCTTCTGCCCGATGGCCGATTGAAGCCTCTGTTGACCAAGGGAGCCACCCGCCCATGCCAGAGAATGCCGGTGGTGCTGATATGAATAGCCTCTCCGACTACGTCGAGGATCAAATGGATCTCACCACCTTGGCTGCTCATCATGCCGAGGTTCTCAGTCGGAGAGAATGTGCTGCTCGAGGCGAAAGGTTCGGCCGTCCTCCCTCACAGGACACAATGCCATGCCGTTCACTCCTCTCCCCGTGCCTGCAGCCACTATGCCACCATGCAAGGTTTTCGGAGCATTCGCTGGCCTCATAGGACGTTGAGCTGGCGGCCGTGGAAGCCGAACGCGCTGCAGCTGCTGCCATCGCTCAGGCAGACCAGTCGAACTCCACAACTCCACCGACTCTGCCAAGGCCCCGGTTCCAGCGCATAAGCCTGGCACGACCTCGACAATCTTGCCACTGCCAGACCCTCCGACACGAGCTCGCAGTCGAAGTCCAGCCCGTTTTCATCTGGACACGCCCTCAACCTCTACGTCAGTCTCAGGGCCGTTGAGTCAGATGATGCCACTGAGGATAGCAACAGCCGCAATCGCCGCTACACCTTGGCTCTTTGCACTGCCTCACTTTGTGTTCCCTAACAGGATCCAGGCCTGGCGCTTCAACTGCAAAATCCTGCAAGGCCGTCGGTGTCACTGCTAATCTGCACGCTGCCTCCATCCTGCCCACCCCAGCACCTCCATTCTATCAGTCTGAGGTGGATGCCACGCCTCAAGGCAGCCCCTGCGCTGGTTCTCAGCTCAGGACTGCCCTTGCATCACGTCTGCTGTGCAGTGGCAGAGTCCACCATGTTCCTGCGGCTGTGTCTCCCTGGCTCGAACGGCAAATGCCAGTTTATCCTGACAGCCGGTAGGCCTGAGTGTGCCACCGTGTCTTGAAAGGAGCAGCGACGGACTCGACAGAATGCCCGGACCGCCACTGGTCAGCGGTAATCGGCTGACTCAACAAGATATCTCCCTCCTGAGCTGTATCTCGTGGAGCAGTTCGAGATCGTCGAGCTCGAGATTGCCCTTGACTGTGTTTGCAGAACCCACCCTACATGCTGGCATCCGCGCCCTCAAGCAAGGATCGCCACGCTCATCAGCTCCTGCTGCTGGCGCGCCCGAAGAGGACATGTCCCAGGCTCAAGTCGGCGTGACCACTCAACCCGATGCCCTGCTCTTGCAGCTACCCGGCTACATCCTGTCCTGCCTCGCTGCAGCCTCCTTCGCCCACTGGCCAGGTTCGGGCCAAGGATCGAGCCAAGGACCAAGATCGACATGCTGACGGGCCCAAGGAAGACCTCCCTAAATCGGGGTCCCGGCGTGGCTCTTCTTGGTGTACAACCCGAGCTCCACGCAGCCGGATGCCGAGAGGACAAGGCACCGATCGTTCTCTCCAGAATGATCGAGCTGATTCCGGAAATGCAGACGGCCTGCATTGCCGCCTAGTCTCCTTCTTTTCCACTCCACGCAGCATCAGAAGCTTAACAAAGCGATGCCAGGACCTATGCAGGTGGTTTCCTGCACGAAGGAGGCTACGATCTTGTATCAGCATCTCTTCCTCCTGACCCACTCAACAACCTGGCAACTCGTGGGGAGCTCGCTCCGCCTCGAGCGAATGGGTCGCTCAGCGCTGGCCAACGAGATGGCCAAGCTGCTTCAAAGCAGCGTTCAGTGACAGTGCATGCCCTGCTTGATCCACTTGTCTGCATGGCTAACGCTGGCAATCACTGCTACGTCAATGCTGCTGTTCTGGCCATCAAATGGCTCTGCCTGCATCTGCCACTTACCCTGGTGCTCTGGACAAAGGCCATGCAGCCGATCATGCTGCGAATGAGCTTGCAGGCCAGCGTCCCAGACCTTTTGTCCCACTTGCCGTGGGCTCCGTTACACGGTGGCTGGCACAGACCACATGTGCAACACGACATTGCTGAATACTTAGCTTACTTCCGCAGGTTCCTCATTCCTGAGCTTCTCAATGTCGGCTCCACGACCATGACAATGTGGCTGGGGCTCCCTCTGTCTGCGAGGTTCGCGATCAAGGGGAGACATGGCCTTTATTCCTCGCAGCGCCACAGTCTCGGGTCGGCTGACCATGCGGCGCATACTTAACCACTGGTATGCTCAGGCTGATGATGGTGTGACGGCTCTGAGTGAACCGTTTTGGCTTGAGAGACTCCAGCACAACCAAGGATGAGACCTGCATAATCCCTGACCCTCGCATTTCTATTCGGTGCTTTTGTCAAGGGTTTGCCATATCAGCTCAGGCTACTCAGACCCAGCTATGTCACTACCATCTTCGTGCTGGGCTCATCCATAAGGGCCCATGCCCTACCTCTGGCACCACTACAGAGCCTTCCTCTACTCTCAGTCCTCAGAGGCACTGCGCCTTTATTGCGACGACGTAAAAAGCCCTGTGCTTCGTGCTGCCGCGGCAGAAGGCATTCGAGGGCTATGTGTATCGTTACCAACAACTCTCCAATGATGTCTAGACGTTGCAATGGGGCATCCATGGCAATGTCTACCGCCGCCACGAGTGCGGCACCGACTGACCTCATTGTAGCACGTTGCCGATCTGTGCGAAGCACAGAGCTCCAAGAGCCAGGGTGGTTCCCTTTCATATCAACCTCACCATGCGAAGACCTTGGTTGCGGCGTCCGAAAGAAAGATGCAGGTAGGTATTTAGGTATGTATGTATGTATGTACGTACGTATGTATGTATGTATGTATGTGTGCATGTATACATAACGTACACCTGTATGCATATATCAATACATGCAATAAAAGTAGGTACACACGCACACGCACATGCACCGTTGCCACATTGCCGACAGGTTGCGCGACCGTCCCAGGAGCCCAGTACCGTGCCAGTGAAGGCGAAGCCGTCAGGCCCCGCTGGAGCCCAGGATTCATGGAATGGGGGAATTACGGTCTTGCGGAATTTGGGAATTGTGGCATGATGGACTATTGAAACTAGAGCTCTGATTGGGGCCTGAGGCTTCAGTAGGGTTTAGTACGAAGATCCCAAGGATTTTGCAAAGGGCGTGCGCAGGCCTCTGGTAAGTACAGGACAGCCTTGTTTCTTTGGAACTGCGGATTGGCCCACAGGAGGGTTGCATTGAAGATGCAGTATAGTTTTAGTTTATTGCTACAACAGGCATCCAATGCAGTTCCGTCTCGAACAACCGTTGCTCGTTACAAGAACACGTCTATGACCTCACATGACCCCCGATGCAAACCCTAACTATCCAAAACAGACACAAATACTAACACCCCTAAGCCCGAAACCTCATCCAAAACAAACCCAAACCCTTAACAACCCTAAAGTCGAATGCCCGAAGACACAAACCCATAGTACAACGTCCGAAACCCTTAAACCACAGCGCCTAGACCCTAAATTCCTATTTGTCTGTTTCTGCCACGGCAGTTCCTCCGCTGGGATTCGAAGAAGTCGACCCATGGGAGGCCTTTGTCTGCAGCGGAGCAAATTGTGTTTCGCTTGTGATTGATGACCTGTTCTGCTGACGGGCCACCCTGAGTTTGTGTTGCAAGGGCAAAAGTCTGCCGAAAACGAAAGCGGCAGATCCCGCGACAGGCCATGGCCCGACGATCGAAGGTTGCTGTCAACGTGCCTTGCGAGTCGCGTTTCTTGCAAGGCCACGAGTGGGACGACTTCTTCAATGCACCAAGACTCCGAGAGGCCAAAGAACTTGTTCTCGGAAGTGTGCCGGGCTTGTCGTGCTGTGGATGCGTCCTTGGCAGGATCCGACGATGACCAGAGGCCGGAAACGGCACCAGTAAGAATGAGAATTCTTGCAACGGACTTTACAGACTGTGCGAGGTGGTTCTGGACAAGAGGCCTGCTGCACTCACAGTCAAGAATGTGATGGGCCGACACGAACTTCCTATATTGTCCTCCTTTTCAGAAGGTGCTGGAACGACGGCAGGGCCGGGATCCAAGTGGAGAGTGTGAAGTTCATGCGCAGACCGATGCAAAGATATGCAAAGATGCTGCATGATGTTGTATGCTTGTGACCCCCGGGCTCTAGTCGGTCTAGCTGCTGCAGTTGCTGTTCTGCTCGCTGGCATGGACGCTCCGCGAAGGTACGCGCACCCGGGACGAGCGGCGGTCATCCGACAGGAGCTCGTTTCGTCATCTCTTATGATGCACATGGCACATAAAGCCAAAGTTGATCAACTGCAGACAGCACAGCCCCCTGGATCACATGGCATCATGACAGCTGTGGTAGAGGTGAGCTCCCGAAGAGCAGTGACAAGCGAAGCGGTGTTACGATAATGTCGCTGTTGCATTGGGAGGGTCTGGACTGCGCATGAACTTTTGGTCTCCGATCTCGAAGGCTCCTCTTCTCGAACGGCTCCGGACGGCGTGAGCGGCACGGAGACGCTAGAGGCGGTCTCGAAGATCGAGCCGGTAAGCTTGAAGTCGCGGAAGTATGGACATGTGTGCACAGGTCCAGATGATGACCGAATTTCGCATTGTCGGACCCTCGGAAGAAGTCAGCTTGGATTTCGTCTTGGAAGGAGCTTGAATTTTCCGGATCTGCAAAAGAGTGCGACCACCGCAAGCCCTCAGTTCTTGCAGCTTGGCTTCGGTACCATATGGTGCTGCTCCCAGCTGTTCTTGTCACTACCACTTGACCAGGCCCTGCCCGTTTCTGTGTTCCCATGAGGTAGAAGCCAATGAGGGCTGGATCAGCATGTTGAAGCCTCATCATGTCCTCGGTCTTGTGGCCAGAGCATCCTTGGCTGAGCCCAGGAGCCAAGTGCTGTCCGAGCCGGAGCTCCAAGGAGCCACCGAGGAGGACACGTCACCTTTCATGACTTCCACGTGCCAAGGGCTATGAGACATTATTTAGTATTTATTGTCACAACGTAAGTATGAAAAGCCAGGCAAGAACAAAGTAAAATAAAGATACAGGGAAAGCGCAAAAGGAAGGTGCCCTCTTCGGGAGAAAGTAAAACAAAGGTACAGGGAAAGTTAGAAGGAAGGTGAGCTATCAGGGAGAAGGCAAAATAAAGGTACAGGCAGAAGGTAGAAGGAAGGTGTCAAGAAGGTAGAAGTAGGTATAGCACCGCCACCACTGGTTGGGGTTGACTAAGCTTAGCGTGGCTTGGCTTAGAGCTACTTCTTCGAGGGCGGGTGGCACGTGGCGTGGATGCGGGAGCGTTTGCAGGGTGATCGCGTGCACTGTTTTGGGTACCTCTTTTTTTCCTTTCTGGCCACCGCGGCAGGTCCCCCTCACCTTTTTGGGTACCTTGTTTTGACCTTTCCAGCCCCCGCCTCCTCTCCCTGCAAATCTAGTATTTTCCCAGGGAACAGATAAAAAAAAGGTAACACAAAGAGAAACAACATGTGAAACAAGTAAAACAAATGTTAAAAAAGGTGAAGGACAAGGGAAAAAAAGTGAGGCTTCACCGAAGGTAAAGGTAGGGGCGAGAAGCAACGCAAAACAAGGGTGTCAGGAAAAGGTAAGGACCATGCAAGCAGGCGGCGGGGCCTGCTACCTAGCTGCCGCGATCCCTACGCCATCCCGGTCCCCTCAACTCCCCCCCCCCCCTTCCCGGTCTCCCTGCAACGCCCGGCCTGTGCTTACTTGAATAGTTCCCTTGTTCTTCGTGTGCTACCTTTCCAGATATCTTCTCTTTGAATTGCTGTTGGTGTGCTACCAGTTTCATCACACTTCGCAGATACCTTTTGTTTACCTTTCTCTTGGTGTGGTACCTTTTTCACCTTCATCAGATACTTGTTGTTTCTTTGCCTTTGTTTCACCTTTTATTTATTTAGCTGTTTAGAAAATATATCAGCAGAGGACAAGCGCAAGGATCCTCCAACACACATTGCTTGCATCGCAGGACGTGAAGCGCGTGGTGCTCTACAGCCGAAGCAGGCGCTGGGACGCTGTGAGTCCGCCGTAGGTGAGCTCCTGGCTCGCTGAGGCTCGGCCGCCGCTTCGAGCTGCGGGAGGTGGAGTCTCGGCCGCAACAGAGACGGCGAGGGAAGCAGACAAAAGAGCGACGGGGCCAGGGGAGCCACACACATGCGAGGTGGCTTTGCTTTTGGGCTTTACCTCTCTTTTCAGGAGACTCCGGCGGGCAAGACGGAGTTTGATGTGCGAGCAACTTACAAACACGTGGACAGTGCCGGATCCTCGGGCTGAGAGCGGCGAAGTGGCATTGAGCATCACTGAGCAATGTTGTCGAGCCTACTTGTGCATGCAGGAGCCACGAGCTTATCGCATGGGGCGCCGAGGCAAGCTGACGGGTTGTTGGACACGGGCTAACCTGTTTCTCAGGGACGAACATGAAGCCGATATTCATCAGTTGTCGTGCCACAGTGCTGCATTGAGTCTGATGCCTGTTGACCCAACATCTCATCCAGTCCATCCTAGAGCGAGGCCGCCGCGCTAACTACGCGGACTTTGACAGCAGGCAGGGACGCTTAGCAGGATTTAGACGAGGCATAGCGAAATTGCCTCTCATCTTCAAAGGCCTCGGGATGATGGCTACCCGCGCTGCTCTGGGAACGGCACTGAGTAGAGAGGGACAGAAAGATCGTGTGCTTTGCACTTTGCGCCGTGACTGTGCTGAAGAAGACGATTCAACAGAGAGTTGAACTGGAAGGAGGAGCAGGATAGCGAACAGGACGCGAAGCGAAACCATGCGAAACCGAGCCTTCACAGGCACGACGAGGAAGCGGAAACTTCAGAAAGCGTACGGGTATCAGGCAAACAAGACGGCAAGCTGCATTAGGCTGTCAGTGAGACCCGACGTTACTCTTCGCTCGTGCTGGCACCCAGGTTTTCGAGCTCACCTACGGAAGCGAACGAGCAGGTATACAGGGGCGCAGACATCTGTCAGATGACGGGATGCGCCGGTGACAGAGCAAAGGCAGATGCAGATGGCCTCATCGAGGTAAAGAGCTTCGACGAAGCCGCAGCCCGAGGTTGCAGAGGGAAGGCTTCTCTTGACGACGGTGCTCAGGCGGAACCTCAAACCACACGCCACTTTAATCTGTCCCCGAGAGCTTCCGAGCAGGGGCAGGCGCGATGGTGATGTTGAGCGAGTTCCAGCGTCTCTAGATTTGCGTTTGCGGGTTCGAAGAGGAGCGATACGACATCGAGGCCCGCATGAAGGGTCAGAGATGGACTCCGTCTTTTCTCTTGCTCTACCAGGAGGAGTTCGCGGCCTTCCCTGCAGGCCAAGAGCTGAGGATCAGCTGAATCCCGAGCCAGAGCGAAGCTGGCTGAGGCTGCGAGACATCAGAAAAACAGGCCACCCCAACGAAGCCACTTGGTTGCGCACGAGACGTGTGACTTCCCGTTTCTGACAGGCTCATGTGGATTTGGACGATGTTCCTTTGAAGGAGGCCGGCATTCCATGTGCAACAAGCATGCACTGCGCTGCGCGTGCGAGGCCTCGAAGAACGGGGCCACGCCCATGGCCTCTGATGCGTGCGGGCCTTCTTTGTGTGTGCTGGCCGATGTTTTGTGCATATCGTTGGGGCATTTCTGCCAATGGCATCGGTGAAGCCTGGAGGTCAGCCTCCACAGCATCCACTGCTTCAACGCAGGAGGAGGTCTTGCTCAGGGAGTAGGCTTTGAGAATGGTCCCGCTCCACCATGGCCGTACCTCGCATCTCACAAGGTTTGGCAGCGCTGGTTGGAACCAGACAGTTTTCGTGTCTGGTTCTGGAATCCTTCCACCGAGGAGGTGGCCCATGCCAGCATGCAGAGATGAGACCAGTGGCTCCGCTTGAGTGGGTTGGTTTCACGCTGCCTTCTGGCATGGCCGATTGTAGTGTCAGTGGACGTTCGATTGCGATTCCTTGCTCGAGCTGTGGAAGTGCAGAGGTTGAGATTTTTCATTTCTGACTCAACTCGAGCAGCTCAGGCTTAGCCTCCCTTCCTGAGCATGTCGCAAGATTCCTCATTCCAGGTCAGTCGGAAAGTTCAGTCCGAAAACCGGCATCAGCTGAGCTCGAGCCATGGAGAACCTGCCGAGCTGGGTGCTGAAGGCCACTCTACGGAGCTCCCTCCTTGAAATCGGTTTGGGTTTGGTAATATAATATAATATAATATAATATAATATAATATAATGTAATGTAGCCCTCTCCGCGAAGGTGGCGGTGGCCTCACTGGGGGGAGCAGCGGTGCTCGTGTTGCTAAGACGGCAGCAGCTGAAGGCCGGAGGAGTGGTTTTTCGATTCAGAATCCCCACTAAAAACATAATAGTAATAATAATAATAAGAATAATAGTAGTGGTAATAATGATAAGCATAATAGTAACAGTAATAATAATAATGATAATAATAATGCTAATAATAGTGATAATGGTGATAATTGTAATAGTAATAATAATGAATCCTACTACAGTCCCAGGGGGGCCTTTGCTTTGGGTCCCAACTCATTCCATGTGAAGGGGATGCGATGCTTCTGGCTTCTAGTTTCGGCAGGCAAAGATTGAAGAAACAGAGGCAGCGCTGAAGTGCTCTGGCTGCAGGGCATTGCAAAGCCGTGGATGTGCTGGGCTTCAACGAGCATCGCTTTGTCCTCTGCACGTTGACCTGCCTTGACAGCCCAGGAAATCCGCCGAATCACCGGCGACCGCGGCGCCAAAGGCTCCAGCCAAGCCAAAGGAAGAAGTGGCGCTACAGGCTGCCAAGGCCGACCCGCGGCGGGTCCTCGTGAGGTCCTTCAGCAGTTTGGGCGTGGTGCGTGCTCTGCATCCATGCAGGCGGCTGGACTTGAAGGCATCTGGGTTGGAATCTGCAAGTGCAGCCGGCGCTACTCAACACCTAGAGAAGCTTCCAGCTACAAAGTTGTTGCGAATAGAGTAGGCGGTTTTCCTTCCCTAGTGTCTCGAGTATTGCAGTGCGACTCGACCAATGCCTCACTCGTGTAGCCCAGGCATGCATCAGATAGCCAAACTCCTAAAATTTGTGCGGCTGCACGCTCGCGGGACAAGGCATCGCTGCCCAGAAGGCCGCGGCGATGGCAGTGAATGGCCAGCAGCCGGGAGCGCCCGACATGAGCTCCTCGCCTGCTTGTTGTTATTATTATTAATATTACCATTACTACTAGTATTATTATTGTTATTTTTTTTAGTGGGGATTCGACAGACCTTGTCCAAGTCTAAAGCCAGCCTACTTCTCCAGCTCCGGTTCTGCGTTGGCATCCAGGCATCCCGCTGGAGCAGGCGCCTTGCAGCAGTTCAGTCTGGAGAGCACAAATCCTCCGAAGAGTTGGGTGTATATCTCATAAGATTGTCACACCGGGCGGTTCAAGTATTAGTACAGAGCCTACATTGAAACATGAAGTGATTTTTGCACACCTGCTCGTCTTGCTGCTGCAGCTCAATCAACACAACCGGTAGCTCCTGCCCTTACTCAGATACATGTAAATTCAAACCTTCGTGCTGAAGCTGTCTCCATTCGCAGCTACCTTGCTGGAGACATTCCAGCTCCTTGGTTCCAGCGGTGCCAGGACATCGAGCGGCGCCTGAAGGAGAGGTACAATCCATCGCGCCTCGTCTCATGTCATGGTCTTATATGTGCTTCATTAGCCGTCGACCTCGTGTCCGACGTGTTGTCTTCCCGTCTCCTTTCAAGTCATGATTCATTGAGCTGCTTGTAGTCTTGTACTACTACTACTACTACTACTGCTACTACTACTACTACTACTACTACTGCTACTACTACTACTACTACTACTACTGCAACTACTACTACTACTACTACTACTACTACGACATCTGCTGCTGCTGCTCCTGCTACTGCTACTGCTACTGCTCCTACTCCTACTCCTACTATGGTTCCACAAAATAATTGTTCTAAATTCCCAGTACAATGTACTAGTACTCGTGCTCGTGCTCTTGCTACTACTTCTACTACTACTACTACTACTACTACTACTAGTACCACCACTACCTACTACCTACTACCTACTAGCTACTAGCTACTAGCTACTACCTACTACCTACTACCTACTACCTACTACCTACTACCTACTACCTACTACCTACTACCTACTGCCTACTGCCTACTGCCTACTGCCTACTGCCTACTACCTACTACCAACTACCTATACTACTACTACTACTACTACTACCACCACCACCACCACTACTGCTACTACTACGACTCCTTCTACCTGCTGTGGCTGGTACTGCTGCTATGTGCGCGAGGATTGTCCCCTGCTGCATACTGGAAAGACACCGAAGCCCTCTATAGGAATCCGGAATCCTTGTAGGAATTTCTGAGGCCTGCGTCTCACACTGCAAACCTGCGGATCGCCGGCTCGATCACTCACCACCCATCGTCTGGTCAAGGAGTCAACACGGTTTTGGGTTCAGGGTTAAGGGTTTAGGGTTTAGGATTTAGGGCTTAGGGTTTAGGGTTCAGGGCTTAGGATCAGGCTGAGGCGTCTGGGTTGTTCTTCAATTCAAGGGTTCCCATGCGGGCTCTGGGTTTGAGGGTGTGGGCTTTAAGGGGTTGAGGAGTCCTTCAACCAGTGGTTTCTGGAAAAGCGCTCTCTCGTAGGGTGCTCTATGGGTCCGTTGATTGGCGTAGAGGCCTCTGGGTCCGTGCTTTGGTGCTTATAAGGCTTCGGGCATTGGATTTAAGCACTTCTCTAGTTTTGGGTCCCTGTTTAAGTCCCAAAGATACAGCACCCTTAACAAAAGGACCCTCGAGGCGACCCCAATTTAGAGAACTATCAAACTTCAGTCTTCCGGCACAAACTTCGGTGCAGAGACGTTGTAGGCCTGGAAGTCGGTCTTACGACAGGTCTTATGTACTCCGGTTTGGGTATCGGGGTTAGGGCTATTTCATGGAAACTAATTCGAGGCTCCCTTCAATCTTCAAGGGTCCATATCCCGGAAATCTCCTGAGCAGTCACGAAACCCTAAACCCTAAACCCTAAACCAAAAAAAGCTTCCGGCCGAACATGTACTCACCGGGGAATGCTGACAGCCACACAAAGCTCCATCCTTACGCCGGGGCCCCTCATGATGAGCATAGGTTTCTGAGTACGTTATGCGATAGCCTCTCTGTTTACTAAAATTGACTGAGATTTACTAATATTTACTGACATTCTCAAATTACTTCGGCCCAAAAATAGCCATAGCGAAACCCCAAATCTTCGAGCAACACCCTAAACCCTAAACCCTAAATCCTAAACCCTAAACCCTAAACCCCTAAACCCTAAACCCTAAACCCTAAACCCTAAACCCTAAACCCTAAACCCTAAAACCCTTAACCTAAAACC